TTTTACAATTACAATTACAATTACAATTTATCACTTATAGAGCGCTATTTACAATGACAGATCAACAGCGCTTTACAATCAATCCTAACCCGCCCATCCCACCCCAGGGGAGGACATCCATCACACAGTAATCTCGTGCGTGGGAAATTAACGTCTCCTACCCCTAACCCTGTAGGAGACGGGACCTCCATTTATTCGTCCCTATCCGAGAAGACTAGAATATCTAACCATTTCTTGATGTTATAGAAAGGAAGCATATTCTTCTCAATTATTTTAAGACCTTGAGTGTTGGTCCGGCCGGGGCTCGAACCCTCGACCTCCCGCACAACAGTCCAGCGGTCTATCCATTGAGCTAACCGGGAGGTGGTTATATATACCGAAACTGTCGCACCTTGCAAATAAATAAATGGTGTTTCATAACTACCCACAAGAATTTTGCTAATTAGTTTCCTTAAACACATTAAAGTCACAAAGGAATTTTCTTCCAAACACTGACTAAGTTTTTGAGATAACTTTCAAAAACTGAGTTTCAGAGGGTCTAAAAGCACCGCTGTACTGTTGTCATGGCCCCATGGCAACAAATGAGGCCTCACGAACACCCTTAATAAATTGCTTAACAGTAGTTTTATCCATGTGTTATAAAATCTTCCTGATGAGATTGACAGTCCTGTAATCTTTTGTTTTAAGACACTAACTTTTAATGGCGGACAACACTTTTGGGCCTCCTTAAAATGCATGTAAGAATATGATGAGGGCTTTAGAAATGTAAAAAAAAAAAAGAGTTTCCCAACTAAGTTTTTGAGACAACTTTCAAAAACTGATTGTTAGAGGGTCTCAAAGCACCGCTGTACTGTTGCCATGGCCCCATGGCAACAGATGAGGCCTCGCGAACACCCTTAATAAATTGCTTTAAAATAGTTTTATCCACGTGTCGTCAAATTTTCGGCTCGGATTATGGTGATAAAAACACTTAAAAATTCCTATCGAGACGTTCAAAATTTCCCTGAAGCGGAAGAAACCAAAATACGAAGGAAAAAAACGAAAACTAAACACTCAGTGGCTCTGGTAAAAGCATTTCTCGCGGTTGAGAACTAAAATCGACAGCCGGAAGATTTGCCGCAAGCTGACTTTGGCCCTGTAGCTGGAAAGATTTTCTTCTGTCGTTAAGCAAAAAGTCAATCACTAAGAATTTTGTTAATTGAAAGTTATGCCCATTGTCTGCTTTTGCAATAATTTAACGCATTTTTTCATCTTGAGCCTCGTCCGTGCCGACGCACTATGCGACTAATGACAATGGAGTGTGAACGAAATCCGCTGAACATAGCAGAATCACCAATCGAAAATTTTTATAGAAAAATGCAAGAGTCCTCAAGATGGATTTGAAACGGTATGTAAATCAAAACAATACGAGCTGATTGACGTTCAAATACAAGAGTCTCTTGTTCTTTTCGTGAAAAATATACTTTTAGCAAGGCAAAGCTGAAAATGCTTTTCTGGATTATAAGAGTGTGAGTGAACAAGCATGAAACAGGTAGGATTGTGGGTACAAGTCTGAATGGTATCAGTGATTGGAGACTAATCAACAATTATTCCACGAGCGTGCGTTGAATATGAGATGATAGATAGCCAACGAGGCGCMACGCGCCTCGTTGGCTATAATCATCTCATATCCAACAAGTGCGAGTGGAATAATTGTTTTATTGAAAAAAACGCCCCCAAGATATTAGACAAATCTTCTCGACTTTATTTTGTAAGAAGAAACCGGATGTTACAGTGTACAGATATTATATTATGGCCAATAAAAACTCTTGAATTTCATTATCCAATGATCCAGTTTTTAATAATTAAAATTAGTTCCTTCGAAATAGAAACCCTTCAAGTGTCGAGCTTCAAGCAACGCCTCCCGAAGTTTTTTTTCCCCTTTTTGAACCAGTGAGGATTGTGACAGCCTGATACGAACTGAGTATCGGTGATAGTCAACTGTGTATATACACACTGGAAGTTGCGCCTTGTTGGGCTCGGCGGGTTTTTTGTAAAATGTAAAGCAGCTGAGGGTGTGGGTGTGGCATCCCATCTTTAGAGGGTGTGCTTTCCCTGGACCAAGCCCAAATTTTCTCGGGTTTCCCTGCTACTTCGTTCATTTATTTCCTTGGGTGGAGACAGGCATATTTTGACTCCAAATAGACTCAAAAGAAGAAAGAGGTTGAAAAAAGTAACGCCAACATATGTCACAGAATTCTTAATCTGATTAAGTGTTTTCTACGTATTGGGTTTGCACAGTCCTAAAATAGTTCAATGATAAGTAATCTTTAAAGCAATCTTAATCCTATAAAATTCGTTTAGGGCGTTATTAATAATAAAGGTGTTATTTTAGCTATGATCCTAAATGAGAATGATAACAAAAATAATGTTAATAATGATAATAGTAATGTTAATTTCAAAATTTATCCGCCCGATAATGAGCAGTACGAGATGGAACAGTTCTAATGCTGTTAAGCCATGTTAATCAGAAAATTAGAGTTGTTAAGGACCAACCATATACGAACATTTAAGTTTAAAAATTGATGACACTCATTCGAATGAAATATGAGGTTGATGATCTAATCAAAACACAAATCCTGTCTTCTTTTTACCTCTCTATTTCAAACTAATAAGCAGATTTCACTAGAAAATCGATCCTGATTGTGGCTTGATTCTGATCGTAACGAGAAACGGATAAAAATGATAGTTATCATAACTGTGGGTTTCTTTGATCAAACAAGTTAAGTGTCATTACCGCAGAATCAAAGACATCAGTAGCAATAGACTTAGCATTACCTACATTACAATCTTTCCCGATAATGCCTCAGGGGCCCGTTTCTCGAAGGTCTCGATAATTTAAGGTCCAGTAAAGCTGCTCTGTTTTCATTCAAGATCGGATTTCAAAAGTTTTGACAATTGTGCGATAAAAATATCAGCTGAAGAAACAAAGTGGACTGGTTAGAGTGCCAGAACCTGCTTCTTTATTCACTAACTTTGCTTTTAAAATATGGCTTCGAGCTCAGTAAGTTACCGGGACTTTCGAGAAACGTGCCCTTGTTAGTCGCCTTGTTAGTTAAGGGCTGATAGTTTCGAAAGAAACTGTTTGGGGCTGCGTCGGTGGGAGTAACAAAATAATTTGGATATATCAACAAAGTTGAAATGGTAAATTGGCCACCGTAATGATTACAAAAGCTGACGTTTCGAGCGTTAGCCCTTCGTCGGTTCCCTTGTTAGTTAAGGGTTGCATATATCCCTCCGATATTTTCCTCTTCTTATCTATCGTTCTGTAATAAGTTGTTTTCATAATGTTCGGGGTTAGTTTCAATTAATTGCTCGTGGCCGTTATCGTACAGACATATCACCAAATATACTGGTTTTCATTGTTCAGTGTAATCTGGGAAAACGGCAATATAAAAAGGAAAAGACTATTGAACAGCGCATATGTGAGATTATTAAGTCACATGATTCTTTCTGCCGTCTTTCGACTGCGGAGATTTAGCCATCTTTTGTTGCTAAGCAACTCGGATAACCTCCGTTTCTGACAAGAAAATTATTTGGTCGTCAAGATGTGCTAACTGAAATTAAATATTCTTCATGCAGTGTTCGTTTTCAGATTTGCCACCTAATCTTAGGTTAATCTTTTAGTCTAAGTCATGTCCTCTGTCGTACCAATCACATCAAATGCTTATCGTCTAAACATTTTCAGAAAGAGTCAATGATTATGCGACTCATTAGTCCTGTTAGTTTGACAATTTACGATACAGACCCGCCCAGTTGACTTTTTATAACTGTGAGAGTGGCTTGCGGTTCTCGCAGGGTTTTTTTCCTTTGTGGTATCGCGATCTGGTCTTCCTACCTCTTTCTTCCGACTAAAGTTCTTTTCCAAGACTGGAGCCGGTAAAGCAACCACCATAATGCCACTCAAAGAACAAATGGCACCTGTTATGCGGCCAATTATACTTAATGGTGTCATGTCACCATACCTACAGAAAATAATATGATTGGGTAAGTGAGAATGGCGCAACAGTCTTTAGTCACTTTGAAATAACTTGTGATCCTTGCAATCTGACTGGCTCTCATTGGTTTAATTTATTTACGAGTCAATGAGAAAGCTTTATTGAAATACAACAACCAATCAGATTTGAAGGCTTGTTTAAAGTAACCAATCAAATTGCAGGAAAATGAAAGGAAACTTTTTCAAGTTTTTACAAATCAGCTCAGTGCTGGATGAATAAAATATTTTTACCGACTAAAAAATCCAGTATCAGATCATCGGGTTCGATTTCTCGTCGTATAACTGGAATTTTTTTTGTCCCACGCCCTTTTCAAAGATGAATGATATACATTTTTTTCCACTAAAGAGCTCAAGCTTTACCATCTTATTCCGCTGTTAAAGAGCTTTTATACCTTCAAGGGAATTATGATTGTAATCAGATTATAGGTAAAATTTTTTTCTACTCGTTTACCCCAAGGCGAGTTCATTTTGGCCATTTCTGTAATCACCTTTCTCGAACTCACTATTACAATCAAGTTAGTAACTGTGAAATACTTACCCTAGCGTCGTCATGGTAACGATAGTATACCAAAACGTAGCCAGAATACTCTCGAAGCTTTTATTATTTTCTCCCATCTCTGCATAATAGATAATTGTTGAAAATAATATAACGAGGGTAATGAGTACAACAAACACAAAACGGAGTTCAGAGAGACTGGCTAACAGCGACGAGCCAGCCTCGCGGACCTTTGTGTTATGGCGAGACATTTTAACGATGCGAAAGATTCTGAAAACACGAAGCACAGTGAATGGGCCGCCCACTGCTTCAGGAGAAATCAATGCGACGTAATAAGGTATGATCGCAACCACGTCAATGATGCTCAAGAACTGTTTCATAAACTGAAGCCTGGCAGGTGCAGCATACAATCTGGCCAGGTACTCCACAGTGAATGCTATGACGCACATAGACTCAACAATGTAAAATTGCTCAGAGTATTTGTTACCACAAGTGATTTCCCCGCATGGTAAAGTTTCGACAGTTGAAGCTGCAACGCTTACAACGATCAAAATTGCGGAGACATAATGTATTAATAGTCCAAAGAAGTTTTGAGCTGGGTCTTCAAATAACTGCCACATTTTTTGCCTTATCGTAGTGGGAACGAATTCCTCTTCTTCTGGTTTTGCATGACGCTTTTGATAGTCTATGAACTCGTCGTGTTTTTCTCGGAACACTTCATAGCAGCAGTCACTTAAGTGATTTCTAACGATTCCAAAGAAGTCGAGCTCTCCCGCAAAGCAGCAAGCGCATTCGTCTTCAGGATAGTGAAGAGTTCCCTTACGGTAAAACTGGATGATATACGAGAACAGATCAGGGTCCCGATCGAAAAAGTACTCATTCTTACTCTTGTCAAAAAACAGATCTCGTCTTGTGCTTCCAAGGAGAGTGTCTGAAATCAAGACAGTTGAGGGATATTCTTTCAGTCTTTTAACAAATTTAACAGACATTTTAACTTGGAATCAAACTCAAAGAGTCTCGAAGGGGCGACCAAAGCCGAAGGGGGTGGGGGTGGGGAGACGGATTTAACGCCCAACCAGCCAAACTTTGTAGATGACAGGAAATAAACAGCTTCACTGATGGTTCAAAGTGCCCTAGGTACATAGACTTAGCTATTATCCCTCTTTCTGTGCATATACATTACCAATTTTTCCAATACTTCTCCCGAAACATTTCCTCACATTGAAATAAGAGGCTCAATTAGAGGATCAGAGAAACAAATTTATTCCCTTGTACAGTCTTCCTGTTTTCAATCTTTAAATTAAAGTGGTTTCGCAAAGTGGTTTCGCAGGTGGCTTTAGTTTTAGTTAGCCTTTATTAAAGTCCGTTTTCATTTCATTTAATGACATTGCATAGCGTTTTCAGATCTCCTTCGCTTATTCTGCTTTCAGAGATCGAATTATGGTAATTTTGGCCATATAGCGAGCCCATAAGTTCAGATTCAGATTCACAAAAACGCCTTTAAAATATGCAGTGTTTTAATGGTTTGCTACCAGTCACTGCTGAATAATTAACGTTTAAAACTACTTCATAATTCAGTGGCTTTCCTGTTTATAACGTTCGGTGACGAACATAAATAAGTTATTGCATGGGCGAGCTACACAGCACGAGATGTGCCAGTTATAACACGCAACGGTACCACTACTTCAGCATCTAAGAATAAAATTTCAATCATCTGGACCAAATCCAAATTAAATTGAGTTCTTTTATTCATAAGATAGCTGATGCTCGATTCAGAGACTTACTTGCGTAGCTGTTCCGCCATCTGTCTAACAAACTAACGGGTGGAAATCTTTAGATACTAAGAAATTAGGGAGCATTATTCCATTTTGAAAAAAAGAAACCGAAAGAATCGAAAAAATTACCTATCTGTGACGAAAAAAGATACGATTTTTAGCGTTTGGCGTTCGAAAAAGTTTCGATGATGCTGATGTTTTGATTCTAGGGCTTACTTGCATAACATTTCTACCATCTGTCTAACAGAGGGGCGGGTGAAAATGATTACTGAAAGTGAGAAATTATGGAGGCTTATCTCGTTTTGGAAGAGACAGATAGAGTCGAAATAATTACACATATATGAATAAAAAAAAGATACGATTTTTACTGTATGGCGTTCGAGAAAGTTTCGTTAGCAACTTATTACCATCTTGAATACACCTGGAACTATTGTTGTCACATAATGTTGCAAATAATTGTCACGAGTACTATGATCGTACCATGATCCGAGACTTTGATCGATTTACCTATTGCCTCGGCCTAAGATATTTTGAAATCTGTATGCTTAGTTCTCTTTTGTCTGGCGAGAAAAATTTTACCGACACAGTGTCTCCAAGAGGACATTCAAATTATAGCCTGAAAACGTTTTCAATAATTCTTTGTTGTTATGGCGGCATATATAATAGTGTCCTCTAGTGCTAAGATACCCTCTAGAAGAGAGACTAATAGGTAAAATAATGTTCCTTAAGTTTTTATCATTTTAAAATCCAGTTAATCATGTCGACATATCACGTCGCCGATATTCTTTCGCGCTGCATGTGTACTGCGGAAGCACATCGATAAATCAGATGCGCCTTCATTTTAAGAGGCCGTGGAAGACTTGGCACACCAGATACATGAATAATCCTATTGTCCTAAACGAGTACAGTACATAATTTTGAGCAACCGAGTGGTAACCTTTAGCCTGCATAAGGAAATATAGATTGCGGATCGACCCTCACCGACTTTGCAAGAAACACTCGTCAGAAACGAAAAATTATCGCATGAAAACACTATTATTTAAAGATACTAGAACCCAGGCTCTTGGAAGATAAACAACCAGTTGGTAAAGTTAAATTAATGTGTAATTGAAGGTTTCTTTTTCACGGGTACAACCTTTGCATGGGAAGCTTTAATGCATTTGTTTTGAAAATTCCGCTAATTTCATTCTAAGCTGAAGTATCTGCAGAAAATTTACTCAGACTTTATTGGAAAAACAAAAAAATTTTATGAGCTCCTATTTTCATACTCAAATAAAATGCTTCCTATTTTTTTTTGAAAGACTCAAAGAATAGATTTAACGTTATGGTGATATTTGAATCGAGAAAAGAATGTGGTAATGACTACACAACATCTTAAAATAAAGTTGTTGTCACCTACTGATCTATTAAATTTATGTAGCCTCATCGGTTCTCAACAGAGGAACATAATTTTGAGTTCGGTTGTATAATTTTGTTGTCAAGAAATAAATCATTTGTTTTATCTTTTTTTTTTAAACGACCAGTCCATTATTCCTCGCCAAAGGCAATATATCGTGCGTTGCCGGGTTTTTATTTTGTCATTTTTGTTTATATTCTTGTGGTAAATTTTCGTAGTTTTGGAGATACTTAAAAATACCCTGGCACATGAATAAGTAAAAAAATATATACGATTATTAGAAAGAGAGACTGTTTTTTCTTTTTTTCCCCACGAAACATGTCGAAAGTTACAAAAGTTTATCGCTTCGACAAGGTGTTTTATCTCAGTAACCGAAATCTGTGTTTTACCTGGATGCTGTTTGAAGATAGAACTGTCTGCTTCAAATATCCGACCGCTTACATTGATAGTTATGAAGTCACCGTTACCATTCTTTTTGAAAGTCACTCGGGATCGGGCGGTTGTTCTTCGAGCGTTCGGTTGATTCGGGAAGACTTGCGCTGTTTTCGATCCGCCGTTTCCTCTTATCCCATTCATGGCCATCGCGGAGTCACCTGTAACATTGGTAAACACAACAGTCTCACTGAATATGCATGTCAACTAATATGGTTTCTACAGGCGTTTTCTAAAATCACTATCCCGTCTTAGATTCATTCGAAGTAAAATTGTTTTATGTCATGGTTACAAAACCTTAGCTGGTGATTTCGAGTTCTCTTTGTTTATAAAACTATTGCTTTCTGCTTGAGGTCTAAGTTGAGTTTAATTCCAAGGAGACTTGCGGTTTGTGAAAAATATATTAGCTAGCATCCCGCAAAGTTGATTAGAAATTCAAAATTGTGCCATTAATTTATTAGTTGCAGCTGCCGTGAGTTCCCATATTGTTAAAACGTCATCCAAGCCATTGTAGATGCACTTTCAAAGGAGATTCACAATGACGGACTAATTACTTCCGGCGTAAAAATTTTCATTAGTGAAAACAAAATGAGCTTTTGGACGATTTATATTTTGAAGGCAGTGAATTGTTGCCTCTTCTTTTATGTCCTTCTTTCGTATGCTCTAAGTGCTCTAAAACAATTAATGGTATGACCCTCGTTAAGAATTCGAAAAGATAACGACCCCCTTTGTTTTCTTCAATAGAGATGAGTAATTCTTTCAGGTCTCCTTCTCTCATACGATAAAATACTTATTGCATGAAAGGGAGGGCCGGATGGGGAAATATTTGGCTCAAGGTCATGACGTACAAACTGAGCGCAGCGAGGTCCGTGCGTCATGACCGAGAGCCAAACATTTTCTCGTCTGCTCGACCAAACTCAGTCGATAAGTAGTTTTTCGTACAAATGCAATTCTTTCTTCTTTTAGATCGCAGCTCACAGGGCCGCACAGCTTTATGCAGCCCTGTTCACGCCATCCACTACGGCTCTCGTACGGAGGGATATCTCTAATGTTCTTACAATCAAAACGCGCGCGGGGCAGTATGGGTGGTATGATCAGAACATGAAGAATAATACAGTAGTTTCAATCTTTTTGGTCGAAGGTCTCGTTCGAGATATGTTTTTAGAAGAAGCTTATATTAAGTAGGGTAACTGTTATGTTATTTTTATTGTTTCACAGCCACATTGGTTTGAGTTATCGACTCATTATATCCTTAGATATTTGATAACTATAAGATATGCAACAAACTCGGGGTGCAAATGAAATCAAACAAATGAATCAAATAATCACAAGGTGCTATAATCAAGAACGTAATCAGTGATAAGTGTGTTATAGGACAATAAAACATGAATTGAAAGTTTGTCTCCTCTTTGTTTCTGAGTGTTCTTCGTGACGACTTCTTCGAAGAAGATTGTCTTTTGAGTATAACTATGTCACCGAATGCAGAGAACACTGTCTAATGACTTTCCATGCAGACTGCTTTCTGGGAAACTCTCTATTAGGGATATCACTGCGACACAATGTTTTCAAAACTCGTTATTGCGTGTCGCTGAGGGTGTCTATAAATTCGAATGCTACCGTGACCAAGGCAGCCATTTACTACGTCACGGTATAAGCCCACGACTGTCTAGTATCTTTCTCAGTGTGAAGTCTCCATCTCGCGCAGACTTTCCCTTTGGGAACAAAATTTGGGCTTTTGTTTACAGTTACTCACAAAATGGTGAAAATGTTATTCACTTTTTAGCCATGCTACATCTCGCCCGAATTCTAAGTTACGCATGAAATTACGTTAGTATTACACGAAAAGAGTATGCATTAATTGAAAATGGTATGGCGAAAGAGAACTATCTTGAATTCTCTTTTCCATAGTTTGATTATTGCAAGCAAAGAATTGGTTCATGGTTTGTTCATTTGAGTCTTTCACTTTCATTTGAAGTAACGTCTTGATTCCAGTTGAATTAGAGTTGATTGTGGTTCATGATCATAAGTTTTCTGGCTCATCCTCGGTGTAAAAACCTGTGAAGCTCACGAGTGACGTAAAACAAAGACAACAAAACATTATAAACAATAGCGTACAGCAAAACAATACCTCATGAAACAAAGAAAACCTCATCAGGTTTTTACACCGGGGATGACCCAGTTTTCTTATAATCATTTTGCTATGAATTTTTCATAAATATTGCATCATTTTTTAAAATCTTGATTTGGTTTCTTGCTGACCAACGTTCTTCACTGATAAACCGGCTGGACTCTTCTGTAATCAGTGAACGTAAACTAATAACAGGCTAACTTACTAAAACATGATCATTTCAAAAAATTCTCATTTCAAAAAATTCTCATGTCAACGTCATAACAATTCACTATATCACACAGAGTTCCGTGTCTCACCTGTCTGCACAAAAACACATTTTTCATTTTGGCCAGTTAAAGAAAAACAACAAAAACTAACAGCCTCGCCTTTTTACAGAGCTGTCGCAACAAATATTTGACTGAAGGCTTAAACCTTTTGTTACCCCGTGTTTTTGTTCCGTGTTCGCCGGTATCTGTCCGGTAAAATTCTTTAATCCGGCGTACGCGCTTACACTTTAACTCAGAATATGGGACTCTTGGAGCAAAAGTCAGTGATCCACATTAAACGGACATCAAGTTTTTGTTCGCAATGTTTACTCTGAGTAGAACCGAAATATGAAAATATACGTTCTATTTCTTCTATTCTCTCTCACTTCTAAATAACAACAAGATACATACAAATTTGATTTTTCTCCATTGCAGGTGTCGTTTGCATCAGCCGGCTACGGGGCACCGTACCCAAGAAGTCGGGATAAAAATATCTTGCTCTATACATGTTTTTCTAGACATTCCACGCTTTTCCTCACAAGAAAACACATTGAAGATAATTGTAATTCACAAGCACGTCTGCACAGAGAGGAGTTATTTTGATAACTTTGCAGATAACCCTTCAACTAGAGGGGGTCAGTTTCTGATATTTTGACAGTAGATATTCATCTTTGTTTGGCACAGCAGAACACAGCACTTGTCACAATTGCAAAAACATCTTATCGGCGATAGAAAATTTGCATTGATTTCTTGGCTAGGAGAATTAATGGCTGGTACAAAATATTCATAAGCCTGTTGTGACGTCTTCATTGATCAAAGGTAAATAAGACGTATTAATTTCTCTTGGTTAATTAGCATGAAAGTTAAAAAATAAGATAAAAAATTTTGATCGCTGTAAGCTGGTAGTACATTTCTTTGTTAGATTACAATTTTATTATAGTTTTTTTTTCACATCTTACCACGTGTCGTAAATACGTCTGACAGAGAGTATCAGTCCAACCTGGCATGAATGAAAAACATCAAGTTCTATTGCACATTACTAATTAACAAGCGATAAAGATTGCAGATCCTCAGAGAAGATGAAAAGTCAAACACTATTTTTATCCTTGCTGCGAAAATAAATGAACAAAATAATTCAATTATCCACAGATGATTGATGTGAAGACTTACCTTTACTAAGGAGACCGCCCTCTATTGTAGGGTGGAAAGTTGGCTTTCGTCCAGAGGTGCATGTCTTCTCCGAGAAAAAACACAATTTCCTATTTGTTTGAAGTTGCCTCGCACTATGAAAAATTAATAAGTCAATGTTGAGAAATTTCTTGATCAGCACTCTGTCGGTCAGAATTAAAATTGAAAAGAATTAAAGTTATTGATACTGTGTTTATTACATAAAAGGCGTCAAAAATAAAGATTCAAATAAATTTACCGCAAACGTTTAGGGAAGTAGTGATTAATTTTGGTTAGTTGGCCTCGAGTGGCTTCTAAGCTGATGTGATTGAGAAACCAAAAAATTTGCACTAAAAAATGTTACATAAAATGAGAAGCTTCCAGATGAAACAAAATCTTATTTCCTCTCATTTCGCGTTATGTACCACCACAGTAGGACAGAAGAAGAGATTGTTTTCTTAATGAAACAAAAACGCGCTTTAATCCCATACATAAAATGAATTTAACTGTAAGGTAAAAGAAAAAAAATTCATGACCACCCTCGAAACTTTATTGTTTGAAGAAGTAATCAGTGTGCGGAGCCAAAGCTTTCCTGTCTTTCCGTGACAGGCCCAACCTCCACAGGGCCGCACAGCT